GAGAGAGAGAGAGAGAGAGAGAGAGAGAGAGAGTAGGGGGAAGGGGGCGTGCTTGCCTCATCGATATAGACCTAACGTGTGGCAAAAGTCGTATGACTTTTATTTTCCATGAGAAGTGAGTACATTTTCCCTGGCGCGCTGCTCGTCACTCCGGCTCTGACCCGGTGAGGAACAAGTGATCGCGCGCCTAATCATTCATTCGGCTAGGCCTGCCCAGCCGATCGTCACACACGGTCAGTCACACGCCTTACTTTCACGAGCGTCGCGGCATTACGTCGCCGAGTAGGGGGGCTCCGCGGCGCCGGCAGAGCGACCAGTTTCCTTCGGGCACTCGGCCTGGAGTGATTCTGCTTCTTTCTCCTCATCCCCACTCCTGTTCTAGAATCAGAAGCCGTGGGCTGGGCTGACTGACCGGTACCGACGGTGATCGACGTGTTAGAAAAATGGACATACATGTGCAGCAAAAGCCGACGAAAATGCGGTTTTTGGCAAATTAAAATCATTGGAATAATCACTAATTGGAATCCACGAGCACATCCAGGTGGTCATGCTGATCAAATCCACCCCATGGCGCGATTAATGGCTTTATTGTGGCAGTGAATTGGGTTCACGGGCCTTAATCTCCCGACTATCGGAACTTCGATAAGAGTCGTTAAGCCATGACGTAAGCAATCAGTCGTCCATCGTAAGGTAGACTGCAATGTATCTAGGAATCAGTAAAAATGGGAATAGAGGATGAATAAGCACATTTTTTTCATGGTTCGATTGTTGTTGTTGTTGTTGTTGTTGTTGTTTTTTTTGTTGTTTTTTTTTCATCGGTTCATCGCCGCCACTGTCCCTCTGTCAGTCGGGACCATCCGGGGTCCTTTGTGCACTGACTCGCCCGCCTTGGCATGCACGGAACGCAGTGCATCGAACAACGTTTTACCATGAAATCATGTGACACATGTCACACTATACTTGTATGTCGCGCGCGTACGCGTAGCCCCCCCTCCCCCCTTTTTCTCCACATACACACACACACACAGGCATTCCTATCCTGAAATACCCCACGCACCAGAGAGTTACGCGCGGGGTATCGTCAATGTTCATCTATTCCCTGCTGCTCTGTACGTATATTTCAGTCGCTCCCCCTCTGTCCCGAATTAGGCTGCGGGGTCGTGTCTCCTGGCCTCCTAGACTGCGTGCTGAGCAGGAGACTGCAAGGACCAGCAGGACATCGCTGCAAGAGCCCCGACCCAGCAGCTCCAGGCCGTTCCAGGGTCAGTGGGCCTGGAAGGAAAGGATATCGTGGCGTGAGCACACAGCCGTGACCGTAAGGGAGGCCGCCACGAGAGGCGCTCTGCTGATACTCCCCGCCGGTACCCGGCGATACCCACCGCGCGAGTGAGACGGAGAGAGAAGAACATCGGGAGAAAGAAGAGGATGGCATACTCCACTCGCTGCAAGCTCGCGACGGTGGCGGCTGGTTGTCTGGTTGCCATCGCCATCGCCCTCATCGTCGTCTTCACCATGAAGGGAGCCGGAGCGCCTACCTGGGAGACGGAGAACCGCCTCCCCGACACCGTCGTCCCCAGCCGCTACGACATCCTGCTGCACCCGGACCTGGACGAGAAGGCCCCTACTTTTGGCAACTTCACCGGTGAGTCGGCGGCGCCCTGAGGGGGGGCGGGCGCATCAGCTGAGCTGGCGTAGAGGTTAGGTTGCCCATGGACAGGTCCTGTCATTGTACTCATTCAAAGGTTGTCAGTCAGAGTTTCTCGGTGAGCAGCTTTTAAACCAATGCTTGGGCTCTGGTCGATGTATGCCATGCTACGCTAGTGCAAGAGCTGACACATTCATTGCGGTATTAAGTATTCCTCTCATGGGTCTGTTGTTGTGGTCCTTTGTTTACCTTGGTTATTCCAAAGATTATTATTAATAATTTAAAATTCGTTTGTTGGGAGATCAGTTTTATTCTCTCTTGTATTCAGCATCATATGAAAGGAATTACTTACGCTTCTGACAGCCTATGGCTACTTGTGATGAGATTTCTTATCTTTATCTTTATCTTATGGCTTATACCCAGACAGCCCTTAAGACATACATGTAGATGTACCCCATAGTTATCAGATATTAAATATTGATTTTGGGATGCAAAGGCGCCTTGTCATGTAGTTTAACGAATTTACTATTATTCTCATTTCAGGCACTGTGGGAATTCGTATTGAATTTAGAGAGGACCGGACATGGTTTGTCGTTCATGCCAAGTATCTGGACATCACGAAAGTTAGTCTGAAAAGTGATGATGGCTCAGTGATTGAATTGGCAGCTCCCATTGAAATCCCCCAAAATGAATGGTGGGTCATTCAGCCAGCCAAAGGCAGTATTCCACGAGGCACCCACACCTTTACGGTGGACTTCAAGGGACGGCTCGACAGGAGTATTGTGGGATTCTACCGCAGTGTCCACACAAATGCTAAGGGCGAAAGCAGGTGAGCTATCATGTTTAAGTAAGGATATCAAAAGTATCTTTAAGTCACATGGAAAAGTATTCCATTCAACATGTTAAATGGCAGCAAAGTTGTCAGATTTTGTTTGAATTTTGTAACAGATTTGTTGTTGGATGTTGATAGCAGTTTCTTTGTAGCATGTACTGTATAGTACCATCAGCGCTAGAATTAAACCCTGCTGTTGGCACTATTTCAAGCCAAAAGGGTTCAACTCTGTTTGCGCTGATAGTACAATGACATTGCAAAACTCTTGGTTGACGTTCTTCAAAAGCTGTGTAAAATCAGTGGCACATCATCATCTCTGGGGTTGAAAACTGCATGATGCACTCTTCTCTGACGGGTCGCGTCAAGTAGCGCACTTGACGGGTCAGCAACCCGGGCTACACGAAAGCTTGATGAGACCAATTAAAGTGGGTGCGAACTCCCACGACGCCAAGGGGACGGGTCGCGGCCATCATAGGGAGCCGGACTCACCAGTCACCACGCCCCTCAAGAAGACCTCTCTTATCTTACTTCTCATTTTGGATCATTGGTCTGTGGGGCTGTGGGTTTGGGTTTGGAGAGTCAGTGTCGCTGTCCTCAGGGACCGCACTCTCCCTCCCGCAGACATCGCTCCCACCTCTGGGCCGGGGCGCGGCGCGGCGCAGGGCCTGCGCGGTGCCGCCCGCCGCCCGCCCCGGCGCCTCGCCTCGTTGACGGCGGTGTCGTGGGCGTGCAGCGGGTTGCAGTCCGGTCGGCCTAGGCTGCCCCCGCGGGCCGCGGTGGACTGCCGCTGCGGCCGCTGCCCGGCGCTATCCGAGCTTGGCCCTCCCCGACTGTACTCGCTGGCTTGCTGTGTGCTGGAGGAGCTCATGGCGGTCTTGCGCGTGACGTCACACACGGTGCCGGCGAGCGGTGGTGGCCGTGCGACACGGCGCGCGCGCGCGGGGCCCCCATCCTTTAGCTTCAGTAGTCGTGCGAGCCCCGTCCGCCGTCGTGTCGTGCCCGACGGCCTCCGCCGTGCTGCCCGCGCCGCCGCGACGCGCCCGACTGCGCCGCCCTCCGTCACGTGTGCACCAGCGCAGCCTGAACACCTGTTGTGGTCCGCTGGACGCTCGTCGCGGAAATCGCACCCGCCGCGCCCTTCGCCGCCCTGACCGCAGGTGTACCGGAACTGAGGCCCTGAAGACCAAGACCCCCAAGACCATGGCGGGGCCGGACTACACCTACACCTCTCATCGGCGCGTTACTTGACGCGATCGGCCTCAACTCCGGCGTCGCCCCAGTCCTTCCACCTGCTGCTGCCCCGCTGCCGCCATCCTCGCCGTCTCTCTAAACTCTAATTGTTGGTCCGTTCCGTTCAAAAACTTTTGCCATCTCGGCGACCGTTTGCGAGTCGAGTCAATCGTACGTCTTCACTTCACCCACCCCCGGGCCTGTGTGATTCACTGTGCCTCATTCCCTGACACGCCCCCTCTCCCTCCCATCGCCCCGCGATAAAAGTACCAGAGGCCGCCGCAGCACACCGCAGGCCGTCCTCCTCGCCATTGTGTTTGGCGAATGCACGTAACTGACTAGACGTCCGATACAAGTTGCGTTGCGTGTCCTAGCTTCAACCAGTTCTTATAACCCGGCCCGGGAATGCGTTCGCTATAACTCGATCCCACACTGCCCACTGGCCGTAGGAAGGGGCCGCTACTGTACAGCTTAAAGTGACTGCATTAGGCGCTTTGGCAGCAATCCTACCTAGGCGGGGATTGCATTTAAATCAGGCGGCACGTTTTTCCGCCGCACTTGCGCGTAAAAGTCACAGAGGCCCAGAGTGTAAGTGAGTAGGTGCACAGAGGGGTGTTGGCCTGTGGTCAGAGGTACCCCCCCCCC